ATTGAAGAACATGATGGGGGTATATACAGTAGTATACATTTTGTCACACGTTTCAGTAAAACTATAAAGACAATAAGATATATAGTGTACACATTATCACATGTTCCAGTAAAACTATAAGGACATTTTGGACTGAGTAACAGTCAATCTTTCATAAGCAATCATGTTATTTAATAGGTGGTTCTGTTCACTTCAATGCAATCACTTCTACAGAAATGCAAATACACATACAGCTGAAATATAATTTTAAATTCTCAAAATTTTACAGAGGCATTTAAAACTACAAGAAATGAGTATTTCCACCTATAGCATTTGTTATTTTTTTTCAATATATACTGTGGACCATGTACTGTATATAAATAACTGATTTTTATCTAGGCTAATAGAACTGATCTACTTCTATCACTTCTGTGTCATCTATAAATAACACATTTTACCTCCTTTTAAAACTTGCTAACTAGTGAAATGTTGTTCTATATTAGAAAAAAGATCAATTACAAAGGCAGTAACATCTTACATTATTCAATTATTTACCTCTGCAGGGAAATGTATTTATTCCTCTAAGTAGCTTTTTAAATATTATTTAATAAACAATGTCATTCTATGATGTTACACAGAGCAGTCTTGATTTACTGGTTCTATTACAGCAAAGCCATTGAGTGTCAACACTTCTCAGTATATTAAACTAAGATCATGAATTATGGTTCAACTCACAATGGGTAAAGACAATTTATGGACCTCCTGATGAGTTCCATCCATAGAAAGGACAGTTCTGTCCATAGAAAGGACACTGGACAATTTGATTGAAAAAGGGAATAGTTCAAATAGTAGACAAAAGGTTCTCACTTAATATTGTTTAACAGGGCAGTACTTAAAGCTCTGGCCTAGATAACGGCAAAAAATAAATGAGTCTATAACTCACAAGTTATGCATTATGTATCTAAAATAATTTGTGACATTTATAATTATTATAATAATACTGTTTTTATTTCTTAGGACACAATTAACTTCTACTAAGGTTAACATAGTGTATATGTATGCATATAAGGTTCCTGGGTGTATTTTTACAGTCATCTAAGAGACAGGCCAAACACTAGACAAGTGCCAGAGAATGTTACTATCCAACAGTGACCTAAAAAAAAGCCAAGAAACCGAAGGGAAATTTCTGGCAATGTTTTCTGGCAACTGCTGAATCAAATGTTTGAAGAGACATTCAATAGCAAGTATCCACAGGAAGATCAAACACTCTCCTAAACATGTTTTTTTTTCTTGCTGTTTCACAAATATTGTCTACAGTCTTTCTAGCTGTTAGTGGTATATGCTCTGAGCTGTGAAAATTCAAAGCTCTGCTGACTGAGATTTTCAACCTACTTCTTTCTATGCATTTAGGAAAAGTAGATTAGTAGACACAGTTATTTTAACAGATCATTAGCAATTAATAAGCAGTTGGCTGCAATGGACCAGTGTCCCTTCCAGGTTGTATCCGACCTTGGCTCATTGCTTGCTGGGTTAGGCTCCAGCTCCCCTGAATTGGATATAGTATTTAAAAATGTACTGTAACACCTGGAAAGCAAGTTCTATATATTGTGTACAAACCTGCTAATATGTAAGCAAATCTGTATTGTCATAAAAGTGCATTTCCATTTTTCAATAATTTTATTCAATGTACACCAGCATTTCTGGCTACTGTGGGAGAGACAGATAATTGTATGGACAATTGACTTAGTCCAGACATGACTAAATCAGAATGATTTTTTTATGTTCATTCTCATTTTTACCAGGAAACATTGTACATATACTGTAATACACAATATCATAAGAATTGATTTTTAACAGAAGTGTGGAAAATATGAACCACCTCTTTGATACTTACAGTAGGTATTACCATATGCAGTAATCTTAATTTGACTGATAATCCTTCATGAATAGAAATTGTTGTTCATATACAGTTTGAGAAGTACCAAGTGTCTTCTATGACACTTGAAGTATCATTTTAGGGAATGTATGGTAAACACTGCTCATTCTATATCCTCCTCTGTGTAGTGTCTACTGAGCCTGGTCTCAATCAATGTTTTGCTTATTAAAGCATCTACTAATTATTTTCCCATGGCTTGGGGATAGATACAGTATTTACGAAAACTTCAAAACCCAGGCCTTGCTATTAAATTAAAGGAGATAACGCAGTTAGCTGTATCATCAAATAAGCTGTCCAATGGAGCTGTTGAAAGGTATTGGGATTAACATACTGTACTGTACTGTAATACAAAAACGAAGGCAGATAAGACTACAGTTGTTTGTATTGAGTTCTTTCTAAAATCTATTGAAATTATATCATCATGCTTTTCTTGTAAGTCCTCCATTCCCACTACATGCTATGGACCAGCTGTGTGTCCAATCAGAGTCTCTTTAATTTTTTTTTTTGTTGCAGTGCAGTTACCGAAAAATAACAATCACAAGAAAAATAACAATAACAAGAGGAGACAAAATAAAAAACAAGTTTTCAGCTAAAAAGCCTTCCTAATTCTAATTGTTTTCCTAACATTTGAAGATTTCTACTACAGCTGAACAGCCCATGTGGAAGTCCACCATAATACATTTCTTAAGTAATTTTTCAGTTATAACACAGTAGCCTCCTTCTTTGTACACATTGCTACAGGTTCAATATGCATGTAGAGGGAGCTACTTGTACATGCATCTTTGATAATGATAATACTAAGTTTTATTGAAGGAGACATTATTTATCTTAATTTTCTATTAAATGGTTTTATCAATAGATTTGCATTCTGTTTCGGCCCTCTAAGGTTTGATTGTGGGGTGGAATGCCTTGCGTCTGGCGTCTGCATCCCCTCTTCCATGTTCATGATTTTCTCTGGGCTTTAAGGTTTTCTCCCTTCTTTCAGAGACTTGCTCACCAGAGTAACTGCTGTCTCTGAATTGCCCTTGTGGATGTGTTTGTGCCACTTACATTGTGCAAATGAAATTCTGTTTTGTGCTCCAAAAGCTTCATATTTTACCAAAATGTTAGAAATTGGGCATTATAAATAGTCATGGAAATGAAGAAATAATACAAAGGTTTTTTTGAGCCATTACATAAAGTAATTACACAATCCTGTCAAAGATTCTAATATAAAGTATGACCCATAAAATCATCTTTGAAGACAGTTTCCAACTTATCTGACAAGAAAGGAAAATAATAAAGACATTTTGAAAGCATGATTTTCTCCTTCTGTGTAACGTAACGTACTGTATATTGGTTTTGTGGGCAGGAGTACACACATTAAGGCAATTTGGACCTTGCCTTTACAATGTTTTTAACAGGAATATTAATGGGATTATGTAATGTAAACTGCAACCAGACAATCATATCAAAGGCAACTCACTGTGGATACAAAGCATATACGTAATAACAGAGGACATGTAAAACATACACACAGTAAGTGCATAACAGTGAAAATAAAAAGATGAGAAAGTACTGTATAGTGGTTGAATGCAGAACAAAACCTTCCCTGACATCTGAACAACACAGTTGTTAATTCTTATTGGTAGCCACTCCCTAGATAGTGAAGTATTTAGAGTCACACAATGCCACTCTCTGGACAGCCAGTGGAGAATTCGGAACCATGCAGTGAGACTTGACAGTTAGCCATCTAAAACTTTGGAACCATACAGTGCCACCTGCTGGTAAAGCAAAAAAATGTCAGACATTGCCTCTCCCTGGACAACAGAGAAACTCCTACACTAAAGGACATGGTTTCTGTCACAGAACTAGACAACAGTAACAACAGGTTCAGTGGTGGTGAATAATGTTATACTGTACATAACTGTACATATTGTATATGTACTGTACAAAGGTTGTATTTTGAGACTACATACAGTACGGTAGAACAGGAAATGCATATATGATCTACTTAGTGTATACAAGAAATGGTAAACACTATACCACCAGAGTTGTGCGGTGTCCAACACGAATTCGGACACCATTTTATTCATATTTAAAAAAAAACAATAGCTGAGTGGCTTGACGCAACGGTGGTATTTTAGACATCCCATATGAACGGCGCAAATGCCTTCTAACTTGCCTTTTAACAAAAAGTGCTACAGTACATGCTATCTGAAGGGAGTGCCCGGTCTCGTGCCTCTCAACTCCCCAAATTAAACTCCTGGCAGACATAAGACCTTTAAATCCCAAAAATGCAGGCAATGTATACCTCACAGATATTTACATCTTTGGTATAATTGAGCTAAGGTTTTCTAAAATTACAATATGCACCAAACTGACAGATTATTTTGTATAAATGTAGTTCCTTCTTGATGTGATGTAAAATTTCATAAAAATGGAGAAGAGACCGTTGACTTAATACACAGCGTCTTACTGTTAGTGGATTTGTAGCTGTCTTTCCTTAAATCTCTCAAATCATGTTCATTTTGTGTTTTTGGGAAACGGAAAATATAAAATATAACGTTGAAAGACTAATGTTGTTTTACTTGTTAATTACTGACAATTGCTAAAGTAGGGTTACGCAACTTTTTCATCCGGAGAAGTTGACAGCATCAATCTTAAAATTTACTATGTATGCAGTGCAATATGCCCGGCACTCCTTAGAAAACAGTTAAACGAGGCTGGATAAGTATTTATCTCCATGGCGCCTTTAAGAGTGCACATAATAGGAGAGATCTGCCTGCACATATGTGGCGTGCTTTTGTGCACTTTGAACATCAAATGAATTAAATAAAGCACTGTAATATTAATCTCATTCTCTTCACCAAAAGCGTTTCCTTAGTGGCATAGTCAGTAGGCAATGACTAATGCCCTGTGTACCCATATGTCGTTGTCACTCTTTCACTTTGCGATGTGATGCTTGTTTTTAAAAGGGGGAAATTGTAGAAATTCCCCAGACACTGTAAGGTTTTGTCGTTGGAAACGCCGAAACAAATCGCACAATGTGCGCCGATTGTGGATTACGAAGAAAATGTATATTCCACTCTTTTTTTCTCTCTCCCTCTCTGACTTCTTTTTCGTATTCAACATGGTTTTAGCTCACTCTTATCTCTCACTCCCCCTGTCTCCCTCTGTGCACTCGGTGATGGACTGGTGATGTGACCTACCAAATGTTTCTCTGAGAAGCCCATCTTTGCAAGCTCCGTGGAAACTGATACTTCTCCTGCTGCGGTATTTGACTCTTACCAATCTCTTAAAATAAGAACCATTTGCACTTTTAAGAAATCTGAAAAGATGCAAGTCGTGCTCCTATATTTTTACAATTCAACGAGACATTGAAAGGATTCCCCCCTTTTCAGGAATCAAGTGCGATCGGAACTAATGTTGGACGCCAGTGGACGGGCTTTTTCTACCTGTGCTTTCGCGAGTAGCTCTTTACAAAACGGGGAATACATCTTTGTAGTTAATACCTTGCTCTCTTGTAATCTTGGTGGGGTAACTCACACGGACTCTATCGTTTAAAAAGGGAAATGGTCTGGTTAGAGTCTTAACCTCACTGATAAATATATCTTAAATGGTACAGTAAGCTTTTTTATTTTTTCCAGTTGTTACAACTTTGGTGGCGTAAAACCTGGTATTCATAGATACACATGGACGGAAGACGTTTTTTGATATAAAACCTATCCCATCGCTTTCCTGCCTTGTGCACCTGCAGGGTCCTTATAAGACTCTAAGGGAGAACTTTGTTGTGTTAAGCTTATGCGTAATTCCAGGAGGCATCGTACTACTGCAAGGTGGTAGCAATTTTTCGGTGCACGGTGTCGTAACTTAGAGTACTGAAATTGACAGGATCAGCAGGGCGTATGTTGTCCCAAGCAATCCCATGCCACCAATAACAAGGATTCAAGGACAAGAATGTGACAGAAACTACTTCTGCAAACGTCTGAAAGATATTTCGTCGCCGAACTGGGAAGCGTGGATTAAGTTCTTAATAACAAGCGAGTTCTATGTATCCCCTTGTTTTTTACAAGTCTGGCTGGTTTTAAGACGAGCAGAAGAGGAATGCTGCTCCGTGATATATTGCCGCTCAGTTTAAGTTCTTGGCCTTTTCTGTTTGGTCACTGCTTTCTTACGTCATTTTTACTTTTATTTCAGGTAGGTTTCCTCTTCTTTTGTAGCAGTATGTGAACTTTGTAAAGTTTAGCATGCAAATGACGTTTTTATGTATACGTCCCTGCTATTTTTATTACTGTTATTATTAATACTATTACTATAATAATAATAATAATAATAATAATAATAATAATAATAATAGGGGTAACAGTAATAAGTGAACGTTTAGTGTGATTTAACATTTCAAAGTATCTAATGGGTAAACGATGTTTTGTACAGACAATTGAGCAATAACGCAATTCTCAGACGTGTAGGATAAATGACTACACAAGTTGTACTATGTACAGTACTGTACTGTATGTTATTTTTTTTCGTGAGCTCAGTCAAAAGTGCTCAGCTAACCAAAACTGCATATCAAAATTAGTGATCTACTGTAGTCTTGTCTGATCAGACTGATCTGATCTACACTCCGCATAGACTGATCTGATCTACACTCCGCATCATTCATTAATAAAATGTTGATACATGCAATTTGAAAAATGTTCCGTGGGAAGTTTTGGCATGTAAAATATTTTGTACTTAATGAATTTCAACCATATGCTGACAAAAGAACACTTAAAAGTATGGGAGATTCAAGTTTTATTTTGTTGCTTAAACTTGTAAGAATGGATAAGAATTAACTTAACTTTGTTTTCTATCGCTAAAAATTTTACATTTTGTTGAAAGCATTAGTATTTTCCTTAACATTAGTTTTTTCATTTACAGCATATAATCTCTAGTTGCCAACAGCAAGGAGTTTCAAGATACAGAATTCATGTACCTTGATAGCGTTTAGTGAACAGAGCGCAAATCATCACGTACGTTCTTTAAGTAATAATGTAAATATTTACGTTATTATTTTCGTATCAGAGTTTTACATGCTTTGACTAAGCCAAATGTTTCAATGTTTAAGGTAGGGTTGTTTTAGTTCCCGACGTAAAGTTCTCGCGGAGCTAAAGGTATTGAAATTAATATATCAACTACTTTTAGTCAAGATTTGTGAAAGCATGGGGAAAATACTGTAGAGAGTGACACATCCTACAAGACACATTGGACATTAACAGTTGAATTACACCAGGTGTGTAATTTGATGTTTTGAATTGTTCTAGATTTTGATGTTAAGCCTTCCCAACTAAATGTAACCACAATAAAGTATGATGTAGGAAATAATTATTCAAAAATGTTATGTACTATTTGTTTCCAAGAAAATAAAACCTGCTGGTCATTTCAGTAATTGTTCATGACATATTCCATCTGCTCCAGTATGATTCAGAGAAATAATAAATAATGTACACTTAGGCTTATGCTGTGTTGTATAAAACTTACATTGGAATGGAATGTATCTTTTAAGTCTCTTTTAGTAATTTGTTCAAAATAATATCCTTATGCATCTAAATAAAAATAATGTAATAATACTGTATAACCAGTCCATTGAGATTTAGTTTTGAACAATATCTATTAGGTGCACATACTATTCATGGTTAGGATTTAAGTTGTTAGCAAAATGCTAACATTTTTAACAGTAATTTATAAAGCACACAATAAGTATTCTCATTTAAAATACACTTTTTTGCATGGTTGATAAATTCAGTTAATTCATCCTCATTATGCTGGGAGCTGTGTACTGTTTATCTCTTCATAGACTAGAAAACCATTGTCTCTTGGTAGAAACTACTGCCGGCCTACCTCCCAAGTGCTTCTTCATTTGCTGCATATCTTTAAAACAGTGTTAAACTTTTTAAACGAATGGTTTAAATGGTGAGCTTGCCACGTCCACACAATGATTTCACTTTATAAACTGAGCTACAATACATCTATCCATTTCCTCAGTGGCAGTAAGAATAATAAGAGCTCCAGTCCTTGTGCTTAGTGCCCCTTATACACTATATTATGTGGGCCATGTTGAAGTGTGGGAAGAAATTATTTATTTGAAATGATGACATTTGCATGCTACATTTAAATTGAATTATCACCCCTGAATATTCATTATTCCACACTAATTGCCTTGGTTGAATATGGTGTATATAGCAAGTTATCTGCCTGCAGAATGTGTTTTATCACATTCGTCCATTGCACTCCTCCTGAATACAAACTTCATAAAGTTAACAACTTTTATTTTTCATATTTTGGGGATTATAAATGTGTTCTTCTCAGGTTTCACATGGAAAAAGCCATGTGGACAGGCACTCATTTTGATTACACTGTGATAATGCCGTGGGTCTGTGAACTTTGCGAGTATTGGTGGCAGGAATATTCCTATGGGAGATAATTGAGTAATTCTGGATAGATCTATTCACTACTACTAGTCTTTAACAGCACTACCACCTGAGTGGTACTCCCATGATAGGGGTACCTGTCAACATCATGTGACCCATACCATATGAGACTTTGGAATTCTTGTCAGTAGTTCATAGACAAACAAACAGAATTAGACCACACATGGATTTAACCAAACTTTATGTTTGTCTTAAATCTAGTGCTGTGTTTCTAAATCACTTTTTTCTGGTTTTTGCCTGACACATTGCTGGATAGCACTATGTTGTAAGAAACTGTGATGTTTGGTCTAACGCACAGGAAAGTGCACAGGATGTATTGCCGTCCATGATTTGACTAAAGAGTTCTCGACTAAACTTGGTCTTGGATATGTCAGCAAGGAAATAAAGGTTTAGAGTTAGGATTGTGGCTTTCTTCTACAAAGTGATGTTGCTTCTTCAATCATTTATTTTCTGTGCTCCCTGCCTTGAGATTTAACAGTTAAAGTGTTTGTGGGTGACATTACAGAGAGGTCATATTCTGCATTTTCTGCCATTTATTTCTTAAGAGCAGAAATCTAAGATTAATCATAATCATTTACGTTCACCATCATTGGGTTCATTTCTGGTTAAAGTACGACAACAAAAGCTGTTCTTTAAAGCACCCGAAGGCTCCATAGCCGAAACATTGTGTTTCAGCAAGGAATAAACCTATTACTTGTTCCTTTGCAACCTACAGTACCATTTATGCTTTCTAACACAAATATATATGTGAAATACATATCAATTAGCTTCTCCTAACATTAAGAATGAAGGAGAGAGCCATCTAAAGTGACTTCTAATTCTAACGTTTGCATATACAGTATGGAAGAGGAAAGAAACACATAGAAAAGCAAAAATAAAAAGCAGAACATAAACCTAATATGTTCTTTGTAAGATGTGTACATACTGTATATACATCTATGTCACTGGTCAAAGTTAGGTGTGTTCTGTTGATAAGCTGTCAGTAGGATGGAATCTCTGGCTGCTAACTATGATTATATTGTATATGAAAAAGCAGATTTGTAAGTGTTTTTTAAACTTCTAATTATGTTCCCCTTCCCAAATATTGTGAAATGAAAATAGCCAATTAATATTCATTTCCAGAAATCATATGATTACATAGCTTCATCATAAGGAGCAGTACAAATGTACAGTATATATACAGTATATAAAATCAGAGCAGAGGAATATCGATATTCAGAATAGCTGACTCTGCAAAACATAGTAGATGGAACATTTCTTGCTGGAACTCTCTGTACATTGGCAGACGTTCTCGTTCTGCAGCAGTATAGACTGAAGCCATCACACAGCATTTGACATAATATCTTTTTGAGACCTAAGGCTACGACAAGTGGTTTCTTGTGACAAACAAAAGCACCACCTTCAAAAAGGTAACAGATACCTAGCCTTGTTCTAAGAGCTTTTATGTGAACTTTGTAGAATTTTAAAGGTGCAACCAATGATAAAAGTTTAATTCTGCCCTACATTAGTGTTTTACTTTAATGAGGTTTTGGCTTTTCCTTGTGGTTGCATTTTCATAAGCATTCCTTAGTGTGGAATGTTCTCTATTAAATTAACATCAATTACAGTACAGCACGTCAAGACCTTAAACCTCAGTGCAGGACGTCTAAGGCTAATGCAAGAGGGATCCATATTGAAACAGGTTGCCAAAGGTGAAGTATTTTATATCATGAGCTGAAAGAATAGGCAAAAAGCTTTCTCTTGCAATAAAGGGGAACAACAGGAGTACTTTTGATATATCTGTAGTTAGAAATACTCATCAAGTTTATAATGGGTTGAACATTTTACACTGTGTTACATCATTAATGGCCCTTTTTGATGTCCTTCATTTTCTGTCCTCTTCTGTCCCCCAGTTTACTCAGGGTGAGCTTCAAAAATCATGCTCAAGGACCATAGCAGAGAAGGCGAGTGAGAGCTGCCAGCTGACATGCCAATGTAGACCGTACCCTCCTCTACCACCCCCACCCCCTCCACCCCCTCCCCCAAGGCTGCTGGTCTCCCAAAGTAAGTGCTGCTTCTTCTCCCCTTTTCAGCAAGGTGTTGAATTGATCGAGATGGGTTAACGTTTTCCACTCAGGGGACTATGAAATTCATCAGGTTGACAGCGGTAGTCAGAAAAAATTAATCAACTGGTCCCTCTTGGGTTTTCTGTGTCACATAGCAAGGTGTTAGCACATTGGACTGTGGTGAATGGGTGTGCCTTAAAACCACTCTGCTGGCATTTGTCTTCTCATGTTGAAAACCAGCGCTTGGTGTAACAAGATTAGATCAAAAAGCCCTGTTCATATGACTATTGGTGTTTTAATAAAATCATAGATTTCAAGAGAGGTTTTTTCTTGGAGGGCAAGTAGCCCTCTTGAGATGTTATTTCTCATTATTGTCAGCGATCTTGATCCAAGATACTACTAAATATTTGAAAAGTTTTCGTTTAGCACTTGCCTAAATTGTGAATAATTTCAAAATATTTTAATATGTGCATTACATTTTACATTTTTGCTGGAAAGAAAAGATACACAATACTGTATGTCTCTTTTCCTTTCTTTTAAGCATGGGATAAACCTTTATTTGTTCCTTTGCAGCCTAGGCATTCTGATGCAGATCCCTACTTGAACATTTTATTCTTTATATTACTTACATAAAGTAAATTGTTAAATTAATAATTTAGAAATTCCATATTTACACCACTGTGCTGTATATTGTACTGTACTTCAATGGAAGCAGTTTAATAATTAAAAAGTGTTATCCTGCCCATAAGGAAATTGTATTGCCAGCTGGGAGTCACATAAGTACACAAACCTCTGAGCAGACAGGCATGGTTTGGAAACAGGATTCTGTTCTGGGTTGCAGAAATTATAGTTTAAAGCAAATAATAATTTATGTAATGTCTGACCTTGGAGTGTTAGGAGTTACCATGGATAGCTCTTGAAATGTTCCCTGACATGCGGTTGGTCTCATTGGTCTCATGTCCCCTTGAGGGTCCCTTGATTAAAAAGCAGATACGTTAATTAAATTAGGTTTTGTAACAGATAGGGGGCTAATGAACATCAGAAGGACTCCCGTCTTGTTTGCAGCAGAGCTTTTGTGAGTCAGCGACTGCATAGTCTGTCTTCGGCTTTGCTTATGCATTTGTTTCTGGAAAGGCTAATTCAAAATGCCTTTCACAGTTGCCCTCTGGGTCTACTCACGGTAGCCCCAGACATGTAAAAGATCAGACAAGCACACACTTGTCTCACTATTATTTATGCTTTAGTGCTGCTAGTTCTACTTTCATTAAAATTATATCATTTTTCTGGAAAATAATTAATATAATTCTAATTAGCCAGAATAATGCAGCATTATAAATATACACTGTACCTGTTTGTTCAAATATCCTGGCAAATGTTTAAAAAATCTATATCAGAAATGAACTTGAAAAGCAAATATAGTATATGAATATTATATACTATATTTATTGTAACAGCAATCATACAGATTTGTTCATTTACGTATTATTTAATGATCACTGGTATGCTTTTTAACACAGGGGGTATAGTGGCACAGTGGTTAGCATCGCTGCCTAGCAGTGCTGCGGATCAGGGTTCATTTCTGTACCTGGAGTGCTGTCTCAGTGGAGTTTATATGTTCTTCCTGTTTGTGTGGGTTTACTCTGGGTACTCCAGTTTTCTCCCATGGTCATAGTGCTAGGTTAACTGCCTTCTTGGAAAGTGAGTGTGAGTATGTCTGTGTGTACCCTACAACAGATTAGTACACACAGTTATTTTACCTGATTATTAGTAACAGGGTGCGATGGACTGGCGTCCTGTCCAGGGTGTAAGCTGCCATTAGCCTGTTGCTGTTATGACCCAGACGTCCAGAACAAGACGATGACAGAGGCGCTAATTACTTAACCTACCACCTTGCTCAGTCACCAACTCACCCTCTCCCTTTTAAAGTATTTAAGCACAACTCACCTGCTCCACCCCGCTCAGTATTGCACTTTCTTTTGAGCTTTCTACCTGCTTTGGCGATCTCTCTTAATCTACACGGCTCCTGACCTGTCAAGTATCAGACTACTCCCCTTGGATCACGATCTGGCCTGACGTTTGGACTTTCTCTCAAGGTAAAGGACGTTTTGGCTCTCGTTTTCGACAACTCTTTGGATTGTGACTTTTATTAGGCATCGTCTCACCTCCTGAACCAGCAAACCAGAATTTATCTCTAGAAATTTTTGATGGCCTACTACGCAGCAGGATATTCCGGACTATGGGAAAGTTTGTACCATTTGTGCTGGGATTAAGTCTCCCCGAATGAAGAGCCCAGGACCACTACAACCCCTTGCTGTTCCCAATCGCCCCTGGTCCCATCTCTCACTGGACTTCATCACCAATGTTCCCGTAAGTAAGGGTCACACTACAATTATCAAAATCGGCGCATTTCAACCCACTACCGTCTCTGCCATCTGCCCAAGAGTTAGCTGATCTGTTTGTGTTACACAGCTTACAACTTCATGGGATACCTGAAGACAGTTTCAGATGGAGGTCCCCAGTTCATTTTAAAATTTTGGAAGGCCTTCTGTACGGCCTTCTGTACTCGGGGGTTCAGTATTTTTTACTTCAGGATACCATCCACAATCCAATGGACAGACCAAACTTATCAATCAAAGTCTACAGTCCTATATACGAGCTTATATATCCTCTACTCACGATAATTGGGTATCTCTACTTCTCTGGGCGGAATACACACATAATTCTTTATCTACCTAATCAACGGGAATATCACCCTTTCAGTGTGCTCAAGGATATCTACCCACACTCATTCCAGAAAACTCCTCTCACCCAGTTACCCTTGGTCCAAGAATATATCACAAATCTACAGAACCTCTGGAAGAAAGCAAAGGATTCCCTATTCCGTGCAACAGATCGACAAAAGAAAATCACAGACCACTATCGTAGGGTTGAGCCTCCATTAAGACATGGACAATTCGTCTGGCTTTCCACGCGCAATATTCCCCTAAAACAACCTTCACACAAGTTGGCCCCCAGGTACATTGGTCCTTTTCGTGTTCTTGGATGAATCACCCCGGTTACTTACCGGTTAGCACTCCCACCCACCCTTAGAATTCACCCCACTTTTCATGTGTCCCTCCATAAAAACCCTACCATAGATCCTCTTTGTGCAGACCCCAACCCAGACCTCCATCACCATCGTCTTCCAGCTTATATGGTAAACATTATCTTGGACTCCTGATGGTCTCGTGGATAACTCCAGTACTGTACCTTGTGGATTGGGAAGGTTACGTACCAGAGGAACGCCCCAAACAAGATGAAGACAGAAGTGCTAATTACTTAACCTACCACCTTGCTCAATCACCAACTCACCCTCTCCCTATTAAAGTATTTAAGCACAACTCACCTGTTCCACCCCGCTCAGTATTGCATTTTCTTTTGAGCTTCCTACCTGCTTTGGCGATCTCTCTTAGTCTACACGGCTCCTGACCTGTCACGTATCAGACTACTCCCCTTGGATCATGATCTGGCCTGACGTTTGGACTTTCTCTCAAGGTAAAGGACGTTTTGGCTCTTGTTTTTGACAACTCTTTGGATTGTGACTTTTATTAGGCATCGTCTCACCTTCTGAACCAGCACAGGATCCTATTCCATCTGCTCTGTAGCCCCATCCATAACAGTTGCTTGCCAGGATAGGCTTCTACTTTCTTGCAATCTGGTAATGGATTTCACTACACTGCAATGTCGTAGACCTTGATAGATATACTTTGTAAATTCAAACAAGTTTCCAGGTATTATCTAGAGCAGGGGTGCCCAACCTTTTTAGAGGAGCGATCTACTTTAATCCACAACCTGCCTTTTATGATCTACCATTCAGTGATGCAGTGGTCACTTAATAAATAACCCTAACGCCCACCAGCCTGACATTATAGGCCTATGCATAATTTAATTAAAAGTATAATAGAACTCAACCATGTTTTTACAATGGAACATGTATAAAAAAGAAGTGGTAAAATGAACAGTACTTACCTAATGTGCTCGCTGACACTGAGGGCTGTCTACTAGTTTTTCATAGGCAGGATTGTAGCTGCTGGTTGCGCATATCAAGCAGGCCTCCATCATCGGTAAAATGGAATTTTGAGAGAATGCTGACTCGTTGACATAGGTTGTCCCAAAGAATGTCTGAATCTGAGCAGCACATGCTCTCAGGTTGGGGTACTTGTTTTCTGCAAGTAAGCTCCAAAAATCTCCCCGAAAGTCCTACTTAGCTCTTGATTTCAACACAATGTGGTTCTGCAGGGCCAAAATATCACTTTCACCGCTGTTGTCTCCAAGTGGAAAAGAGGTGTAATTTTGGAGGCAATGTCATCCATAGTAATTTCTGTCCCAAATGTGAAACACATGAATGCCGAAATGAGTTCAAGCATTGTGAAGTCATTGAAATGCCTGTCGAATTCAGCTGCAATGCTTTCTATTTGCTCTGTATATCGTGCGCAGTTCACCTGCATACACATTTTGCCCTGATGCTCAATTTCTGAGTGTATATTTTCAAAATTCTATAGACCATTGCACCGCAATTTAGAGGATAAGAGGTGTAATTTTCCCTTAAAAATGTTTACTGAGCTGATCCTTTGCATTATATTTTTGTATTTGCCTTGTAGCTCAAGGTTGAGCTTGTTTAGCATGTCAAGTCAGTTAAGATCGCTAAATCTAGGAGCCATTTATCATCTTAAGCTGCTTGTATTCAAACTTAGAAGAAAAGTAGAAAACTTAGAAGAAATCAGAAACTCTTTTATTTCAGGCAGTACTGTAGGTCTCTTAATCGCTGCAAACATTTACTTCTGTTTAGCCATCTAATGTCCGTGTGCAGCAAAAGGTCCACATGTTCGGCATCCCTTTCCTCTAAGTAAGTGCGGAAAAGCCGTCTTTGAAGACTCCTAGTACAGATTGAGCATACAATCTTCATTGCAACATCCATAACCTCCTTCATGTTAAATGTTTTTCCACACAAATCTTGCT